TGTTTGTTTGTTTGTTTTTCTCTCTCTCTTCACTAGTGCTTTAAAAGGCTCTTCCATCTGTGTTGGGCTGGAACCCATTCACCTATGGAATGTGGCAGCTAGCTTTCCACATGGCTAAAGGCAATCCAATCTGTTGCTGTGCAATTCATGCCTGTGAGCTCAGAGTATCCACTATTGACTTTGTATTCAGACAGATAGTTTTGATGGACAGCGAATATGAACCAAGTAGAAGAAACACGCCCGTTTTGATGGCAAAATGCTAGTTGCTGATTTTTTTTTTTTAGGGGAGCAGACTTAGCATTTCTCTCTCTTGAATGATAAGTAAGTTCAGATCTGAGAAAATTTCAAGTTGCATGGTTACAATTTTACATAGTTTTGTCTGTCTTCCTTTCAGTTGATTGTGATTTGTAAAAATAACTTTTCTTTATCCTTCAAATATACTTCACATGATCACTGAAAGTTGTCTGAGTAATTCACAAGGGCAAGCTAAAGCTTCTGCTCAAATAATCGGTTGTTGGAGAGCTATGAACAGACGGGAGTTTTCAGCTGGCAAGCACTGGCCCATTTGGCTAAGTGGCAAAATTCTGTGAACTAGCATGTCTTTGGAGAACAGCCACTATGTATGTTATCCCTCTTGTAATTTTGTGATTATTTTTGGTCTGTCACAAATATAAATATTTTCTATATTAACCAGTAGTTGAGAATTATTTCTTGATTTCCAGTATTCATCAGTTTATTTTACTGTATTTGTGACTTTTTGTTACTTTTCTATGTAATAATGAAGTAATTTTATAATCTCAAGTCTGTATGTGTTCCTTGCAGTATGTATTGCGTCAGGGACAAAAGTGGCACTATTTAATAGACTTCGATCCCAAACAGTTAGCACCAGATATTTGCACGTAGAAGGTGGTAATTTCCATGCCAGTTCACAACAGTGGGGAGCATTTTACATTCACCTCTGTAAGTAAAAATGAAGCAATATATTTTTTCACCTCCTTCCCTCCATCCCCACAAAAAAAAAAGTCCTGCATTTTTTCCTCCATATTAGTTGCCCAAATGCAGATTTGTTTTGTTACTGAGTGTATATTTGATGTAATAGTGTGATGTTAAATGTTCCTCCTATCGAGGAAAACAGTGATTAAAACAAATAATGTGAAAATTCCTGTTTCACACAGTGGATGATGATGAATCGGAAGGAGAAGAATTCACAGTGAGAGACGGCTACATTCATTACGGGCAGACTGTCAAACTTGTATGCTCAGTAACTGGCATGGCACTCCCAAGACTGGTACAGTTTAATTTCTCCAATGCTGCAATTAATTTGTAGATGGCTACTTAGAGTAACTGCATAGTTGGGTTTGCATTGTTTACAATTTTCGGCTTTGTATGTTTCCTTTTGGTAATACATGTTTTATATGGAAAATGGCATTCATTTTAATAAAAGTGTATTTTGATACCTGCAGATTAATTCTGTAAGCAAAGAACAGCTCATAAAATAAGCATAGAGAATTTTTCAGAATTCAAACCTGCCAAAGTAGGTTAATCTGCAAGCTGTCCTTAAGAAAATGTCTATTTTAAAAACAGTAATGTAGGTCCCAGTGTAGTGAAATACTTTAAATACTGATATTGAATAGATGAGTAAAGTCTTTGCAGCCAGTAGGACTATTCCATTTGTTGAGTTCAGCACAGCTTTAAAAATGCTCTACTGATTTGAATCTAAAAGCACTTCTGTGTATTTTTAAGGATACATAATTATACCAATATCAGCTTGCAAAAGCATTTTGGACATTTATTAACACTGTCTGTTTTAAATATGGAACATTGGAAAAGCCATTGGAATAACTTTTTTTTTAGAAAGAGACAATTTCAGCCCTTGTCTTTGTCACAGATACAAAATTGATTATAACCATTTGAAGTTTGTGAACCAAAAAAAAAATTTTATTGGTGGATACATAGTGATGTTTTTTGTAAATAAATTTAAGTATAATTGTAGATTTTTTTCTCCCGTTTTATGCACTAAATGCCAGCCTAAGTGGAATTTTATGTGACTGATAATAAACAATGCTTCATATGAGATCTTCTGTGAAATTGTGGTTTGTCAGCCCATTATGAATTACATACAAGGCTTTGCTAATTCCACTTTTAAGTAAAAACAATTTTTAGAATGTGCCAATGTAAAACCAACCTTCCCTGCAGGCAGGTTTTTGTTCCCCTTCCCAGACTTATTTTACTAGGACTGTAACGACAAATTCTTTCCCAATATCAAACTTTGCTAAAAAAGAAGATAGCCTGCTCAGAGTAAGTGGTATAAAATGATCATTTAAATAGATTTTTTTCTTTTTTTTTTTTTTTAATCACATTATTTGACAGAAAAATCCAGACCTGGTTACTACTGATCTGGTTCAGTGCACGTGAAATTCAGTAAGAGGATCTCACTTTATTTGTGGGCTTTGTGTTAGTATTTTTTTTATTGCCGAAAGGACATGCCATCGTTTATGATTCCAGAAACCTTATTTGTAGGTAGAAATAGATTAAAACAAATCAGGCTAAAGGTTCCTGTTTTGTTTGCTATTGGGAACATTTGTCATGCTGCCTTACAAGATTGATTGAAGGTGATGCGATTAAAAGGTAACTTGCAGATCTTTTATAGGTTAATGCAAAGAACTTTGAAGAAACAGGTTAACCTTGAAACTTATATTGCTAATAATGCCATTTATTATCATTAGAAATCCCAGAGGACATGGTTGGCTTTCTGATTGTCGGCTTAGAAATCTTCAAGCACTTTGGCTGCTGCTTCTGCTGATGTTGCATAAAATGAAGTATTAAACTTTTTTCTAGAAGTTGAGTTAAAATTCCAAGCTACAGATTTCCACTGTCTGTAAGGGAATAACTTTTTTAATTTTTAAAAATAAATTAGCATAACAGCTCTGAATTAAGTCAGCAGATACTTTTTCACTGAACTGCCAGATGTAAGGAACAATTGTTCTTTGCAGTTGTCTTTAAGTAATATTTAATGACCAACTATTGTTAAGATACGCTATGATTGTTGTGTTTGCAAAACTGTACTTAAGGACATCTCCATACCTTTAAAGTAAACCCTTATTTTCAACTGTTCTCGTTCAGCAACCAGTCTGCCACAGAATGTTGTTGATGCTATCAATGGTGGAAGCTTCTGCAGAAGTCTATTAATACTTGACCCTACTGCTCTTTTGTACCAGGAAATGGAACAAAAGTAGATTTTGCTGAAGCTTCAAGTTTTTTCCCCACTCTTATAGCAAAAAAGATAAAATATATATGCATGCAGCACATTGAAGCTGTATGAATGGAGTGTCACTTCAATGTTGTGTTCTTGTTTCAAAAGCATTGAGAATTATGAATCTAACGTTGGTACTAAAACAGGAGGCATGGAAATGGAAAAAAAAAGACCTTTCATTTGCTTTACTAACAGTACATATGTAATGAAGTACAGAAATTGTCCTAAATATATATGTAAAATTTTCATTCACAGATAATTCGAAAAGTAGATAAACAAACAGCGTTATTGGATGCAGATGATCCAGTATCGCAGCTCCATAAATGTGCATTTTATCTTAAAGACACTGAGAGAATGTATTTGTGCCTTTCCCAGGAGAGAATAATCCAATTTCAAGTGAGTTGTCTAAAACTATTTCAATAGATGAGAAGCGTGGTTGCGAAGTTTTCCCAAATATTCCCAAAATGTGTATGAATGCCAGTTTTGCGGTTGGTTTTGAGTGAGAATCTAATATTCTGTTTTGAAAAAACAGAGGATGAAAAGCAACAAACTTTCTGTCCCTTTCCAAATTGCTTTTTCTTTCCTTGTAATCTTCTACCATCTCTGTCTAGACAATGATTTCTATTTTCTCCACTGCAAGAAACAGAAACACACTAGGAACTTGTGCATGCAATCATGATACTGTGGCTTAACATGTTGACATATGCCAGTGGAGTTGCACCACTTACTTGTGTGTCCATTTCTAGATTACAGCAACTAGGAAATGATACAGTTTGTAACAGTCTTATTTCATGGTGAGCTTAGCAGAGTTGCACTGTCTTGCTCTTGGCTAAGAGCATAAACATAGACAGCTAGGGCAGTTGACCACAGTAATTTGTAAAGCCACAGAAATTTGATTTGTCTGTAAAGAATGTAGCTGTCTCAGTCTTCAAGTATTTGTTTTTCCAGCAGGTGGAGAAAGATATCCCTAACAAGTTACTATAACAGGAATGAACCCCTAGGGAGAGCTGTAAAAAAAATACCACAGTGTACAATTATTCTGACAGCTTATACAATATGCTAACAAATTGTGGTTTTAGTCTCGTTTATGTTAGCATGCTTTTAGCAGACTTTCAGCATGGTAATTCCCATCGGAGTAACAAGACTGTGACCAAGTTCAGGCCTACCTAAGCATTGCAATTTTCTTTAAACATCCAGGGCAGCTCAAATAGCAAAGGGTGTTGAGAGATGATGCTGTGCTCCGGGAAGATGGCCACACTTGGGAAAGACTCAGGACTTCCTTAGGAGAACAGCTGTAGCTTCTTGGGTAAGAAAGGTAGAGGTAGGAAAGGGGGAAGCTAACTTTTTAAAGATTTCCCTTAATTTAAGGGAAGGGACAAGGATTGGTAAAGGCTCAGTTGACTTCTATCCTGAATTGGGACAATGGAAAGAGAATATGAGAAGCTTTGTTCATATTTCAGGAAACATATTCATGACTTGTGGCTCAAGAAGGGACCGGATCTATAGGTTCTACCCACATCACGTAGCAGATATATCTATCAATATACATTCTTGTAAAGGAGAATGGACCTTCGTCAAGAAGAAGAGAAAGCGATGAAACAGGAATTGCAATAACTCAGGATCAGCTTTGCTGTTTGATCTTTCTCAAAGTACATTATGGGAAGGGCTGAATGAAGAAGCAACTCCTGCTTCTCTGACACCTGCCCTAGTTCAACGTCCTGGAATTACCTGTGGACATCGTACCACTCTTCAGTTTCTGCAGCACTCATGAAGCCCGATCCGATAAGAGCTCTGAACTTTCCACATGGGTAGGGCTTAGGTAAAAGGACAACCCGCTATTCTGAATTCTTTTAGTGGAGTAGGTCCCTGCTGCTTCTACTTGTTGAATAAAATCTGTTAACTTGCACATCAGGCTGTTATCACTCTTTGGTAAGTGAAACCACTATGGAAGATAAACTCTTTCTACCAGTAGCAGGAGAGAAATCCCGTTTTATCTGTTTTTTCCTTTGGACCAGAAGACCAAGATGAGAGAAACAGGCATGTGTAGCATCTTTCACCTGCCCGCTCTTAAGCATTTACTGTTGAATACAGTTCCTACAGTAGGAGTCTAGACAGACTGTGGTCACTGTAAAAAAAGAAAAAACAAAAACCACAAAAAATTCCAAACTTTACTTTAGGGTGACAAGTCTCTCTTGGGTGAATGGAAATAGCCCAATATAGAGACCTTAGAGGCTTAAAACAGAGAGGCGCGAACCTACAAAACCCTTGAAATTCAGTTGCTGAAGTACCAGCCCAATGTCTCTTTGAAGATGTCCATGTATTCTGGAGAATACAGAACGAATATAAATAATGCCTTACTGGATCAGAGCATAGTCCATATCTATGTCTAACAGCAGCAATAGGACATGGTGCTTACAGGAAGCAGGCAGATCTGGTCGCTTTATGCAGCCCAATGCAGTTGTACTCTACCAGCATCCATACTTTTTGTATTAAGGGTTGTTAAAGGCTGCATCCCTTACTCTATCTTTTAGTATCATTTTGTAGATGTGTAGTCCATCAGTTTGATTCCTTTTGAATGTGCTGATGCTCTCTTTTTCTGCAGTATTCTGTGGCAGAAAGTTCAAAAGGTTTCCTGTCCTCTGTGTAGTAAACTTTTGCTGTATTTGTTTTGAATGATCTAATAGTTTCTGAGAGTGATTCCTAGTTCCAGTTTTGCAGGATTTAGTGAGCAACAGTTCTGCATTCACCTTACCCATCAACATCTTAATTTCTTCTCTCCAAATTGGAGAGTCACAGTCTTTTCAATTTCTTCTCAGAAGGTCAGCAGGTCCTTGGTGATTTTAGTTGCCTCTCTGTACCTTCTCTTTTTTAACCATGGCTTTCTTAGACGGGGAGACCAGAACTGCACAGAGTATTCCAGAATTAGGTGAAAAAAAGATTTACGCTGGCAAAATAGTACCTGATACCTTGTTCTCAATATTTTTTTTTCTCATGGTGTCCAACATTGTGTTGCCACTTGCGGCTGCCACTGCACATTGAGCTGGTGATTTCAGAAAACTGTCAGTGATGACTCCAGAATCCTAAGCTGTAACTACCAGTTCCAAGTTCAGTATCTTATGGGCATCACTTACAGAATTTTTCTTTAGAAACCTCACTTTTACCTAAATTGAAGCTCATTACCACTTTTTTGCTTTCTATGTTCATTTTGATGTCCTTGCAATTGTAACAGCATTTAACTACCTGAAAAACTTAGGATCATGCAGAAGTTTGAAGATTTGACTTTACTAGCACACTGGTGAGGACGTTGAATAAAACTGATCGCAACACCAGTCTCGGGGAGGGGACTGCACTGTTGGCTTTTGTGCATTTTGAAAGGAGAATGACTGTTAAGGTCTACCTTTTGCTTTTTGCTTTCCTTTAATTAGCTTTCTATTAAAAAAAACCCACAACTTTTTCTAATCCATTATAATTTCATTTCTTTAATATCCTTTCATATAGAGCTTTCTTGAGGTTTGGGGGGGCGGGGAGGTTAGTGGTGTTTGGTTGTTTGGTTTTTTAAAATCCAAATATATTATATTCCTTAGATTCCTTTTGTCTGTGTCCTTGTTGTGTTTACCAGTTCTTGGGGAATTCTGTCCTTTATCTGTTAATGTTATGCAACTGTTTGTTTCCCATCCTGTCTCCATGTGAAGCCGGTCAATACATGAGGTACTAAGCATGGTGTTAGGGCATTTCAATCTTCCAGTGCCACCTGTTGAGAAAGTTTAGTTATAAAAGGAAAGGCAAGAGGGGTGGGGAAAAGTGCCTGGAGGTAAACTGCTGTATTTGGAAGTGACAAGGAGGAATGCTTCTCTGGAAGAGGAATCATAATCTTTCAAGGATTTCTGTGACAGAAGGAGTAATGTGTTCCTGAAACGATTCGTGACATAGGACTTTCAGAACAAATTCTGTGGCATTTGCCTTCCACTTTGTGGCAGGGATTTAGCAGATCTGAAGAAGCCAGTCAAGGATCTTGTACAGGGTCCTTCATTTTTGGTATCTGTGGTTTTGCTTGTCATGAGTTGAAGTACATCAGTCTATGCCAACAGGAATTGTAGTCAACCTGTAGGAAAAATGTCATGCATTGAAATAGTATACAACAGTTCCTCTTTTGAAGTTGGGCTAGTAATTTAGAAGCTCTATATGTTTCTAATAAAAATATCAGTTGGTTCTTGAGCTTGGAAAGATCTGTAGTTGCTATCCTTGTTGCACACTTCCCTTGCAAGCTGTTTTCATTGCTTTTTTACATGATCATAGTCCAGAGTCCACATGAGAATGCAGCTTTGATCTTAACTTCCTTTCATCTGAACTGGTAAATTCGTGCTAATTGGAGTTTATCTAACAGTTTTGAAGAGTGAAGGTTATGGTTACATGCCTAGATATCCTTACAGCTTAATGGAAGAAAACAGAATTTAGGTATTAAAATTGAATCTTTGAGTCCCATTTTTTTCTGTGCCTGTGTTTAACCTATACACAATTCCCTTATTAGTTGCTAGATGATGGAATTGTTCAGCGAGGTGAACAATTTGCCATAAAAAATAGTTGTCAGTGTATTTTCTATGTATGTATGTATACTAATTTAGTAATATTTACAATGAGACAGTGAAAGTTTCTGACTAATTTGCAAGGTTGTCATTTCAGCTTCTCTCCCATGTCTTTGCACAAACACTGAAATATAAGCTTGTTTTGTTGATGTTTTCCATCATTTTGTAGATGGTGAAGAACTCTCTAAAAAGAAAAAAAAATCCTGGCCAGATGTAAATCTTAACTAATGAAAAGTATTCCACTTCAGTCTGTAGCTGATGTAGTCACTTTGCATTAATAAAACAATATCTATTTTAAAGTAGCTACTTCTAGTTGCTGTAGTTTGTTGGTTAATGGCTATTGAATAATGTTAAAACTTTGAAAGCTAAACTAAAATAAAACCCAATAATAAACAGAAGGTTGGAGAGGTGACAGTGTCATAGGTGAGAGTTAGTGTTCTCACAAGTTTTAGTTTTCTACTCGTTTTGCTGAAATGTATGTGACTGTTTCTCTAGGTCATTTTGTTAGAGGAAAAACATAAGGAAACATGTTTTTGAAATAATAGACATTGTTACTGGCTGGGTTGGTTTTTAGCTCTGTGATTTGGCAAACGAGTCTACAGGTCAGATTTAAAACTTTTCTTTCTTTCTAAGGCCACTCCATGCCCAAAAGAACCAAATAAAGAAATGATTAATGATGGAGCTTCTTGGACAATCATTAGCACAGATAAAGCAGAATACACGTTTTATGAGGGGATGGGACCGGTCCATGCTCCAGTGACACCTGTGCCTGTTGTAGAAAGTCTTCAAGTAAGTTTGTTTTTTTTTTTAATAAACTCTTTATGTGAGATTATTTTTGTCATACATACTTCATGGTACCTTTGTGGAATACTGTAGGAAAACGTTCTTACTAGCTTTATAAATAGGAAAATTACTTTATGTTGCAATAATTTTTATTACCTACATTTCAGAATACATGAGCCTATCTGTCACAGGAGTGATATTAATATTGTTCTATACATTAGGAATTTATTTCTTAAAATACTATGGTAGCAATATCATTAGGACTTCTACTTCTGTTTGATTATTTAGAAAATGATTTTGGCTCTTAAAACAGCCAATTATAGATCAAAGAGAGCCAGACTGAAACCTTATTAAGAAAGTCAGCATTCTGCTGTGGAAAAACTTGAAGCTCTCCTAACACGTTCTCTGAAAGATTCTTTGTTCTTTGTTTTCAAAGCCTTGTTGACTTCTATTCTAGTGGCCACTATCAAAACTTAGAAGTTCCTTCAGGATATCAAATTAATTGGCAGTATCTTTTAGATGTGTTACTTCTTTACAGTTCAGTTGTGTAGGTATGTTTCTTTCAGTTTATCCAGCTCATAGCAACAGCACTGTTTACAGTTCTTGTATGCATGTGAAGAATTTTTTTCGTTTTTTTTCTGAGAGGGAGGTGGGGGTTTTTTATTAATACTTTTTTTTGGTGGATTTTCTTCTTTTTTCTATTTGCTCCCTTTCCAGTTGAATGGTGGCGGGGATGTAGCGATGTTGGAACTTACAGGACAGAACTTCACTCCAAATTTACGTGTCTGGTTTGGGGATGTGGAAGCTGAAACCATGTACAGGTACAGTATTTCCCAATACTTTTATGGTGATTACATTTTACTGGATGCTTTGACGAGTGTATACTCATGTGTATACATTCAAGTGTATACTTTCTGCCCTGCAGAAAGGGATCTGGGAGTGTTGGTTGACAGTAGGCTTAGTATGAGTCAGCAGTGTGCCCTGGCAGCCAAGAGGGCAAACTACATCCAGCCGGTCAAAAGAAGTGATTATCCCACTGTATTTAGCGTTGGTGCAGCCTCACCTTGAGTGCTGTGTGCAGTTCTGGGCCCCACGATTTAAGAAGGCTGTTAAGGTACTTGAATGTGTCCAGAGGAGGACAACAAAGCTGGTGAAAGGGCTGGAAGGAATGTCCTATGAGGAGCATCTAAGGACTCTGGGTTTATGTAGGTTGGAGAAAAGGAGGCTGAGGGGCGACCGCATTGCTCTCTACGGCTTCCTGAGGAGGGGAAGTGGAGAGGGAGGTGCTGATCTCTTCTCCCTGGGATCCAGTGATAGGACGCGTAGGAACGGTTCAAAGCTGCGCCAGGGGAGGTTCAGACTTGACATTAGGAAATATTTCTTTACCGAGAGGATGGTCAAACACTGGAACAGGCTTCCTAGAGAGGTGGTCGATGCCCCAGGCCTGTCAGTCTTTAAGAGGCATTTGAACAATGCCCTTAATAATATGCTTTAACTTTTGCTCAGCCCTGGAGCAGTCGAGCAGTTGGATTAGATGATCATTGTAGGTCTCTTCCAACTGAACTATTCTGTTCTGTTCTATTCTATTCTTTAAGCTGAAGTTTTATGATGCTCAGTTGACTCTCCTGTTTTTCAGATGCGCAGAGAGCATGCTATGTGTTGTTCCAGACATTTCTGCATTTCGAGAGGGTTGGAGGTGGGTCCGTCAGCCAGTCCAGGTTCCAGTAACTTTGGTCCGTAACGATGGCATAATTTACTCCACCAGCCTTACCTTTACATACACACCGGAACCAGGGCCACGACCACACTGCAGTGCTGCTGGAGCAATCCTCAGAGCCAACTCAAGCCTCATGGCTTCCAGTGAAACAAATACAAACAGCGAGGGAAGCTACACAAACGTCAGCACAAATCCAACCAATGTCACATCATCTACAGCAACTGTAGTTTCCTAACTACTATTGTTTGTCTGGACTTTAACTGACTTTTAAGTGCTACATTCAAGAGAACTGAACAATTTTTGTGGTTTCATGGAAAAACACCTTTCCATTTTAGGTGATATTATTTGAACCTTGTTACCTGCAAGTGCTGATCTTAAATATAGAAGCCACAATAAAAAAAAAAAATACATCCGAAACATAAGAACTTTATTGAAAATCTATTTTTCAGCTGTTTTTTTTAATGGGCAAGAAACAAAAAATGTGGCTGGGATACATGTTGAGCAAACTAGAAAACATGAACGCAACATAGTTTTTATGGACCAAGGAACTTGTATAAGCTTTAGTATAAAAGGTACATTTTCACCATACCTTTTTTGTATCACAACATATAGTACACTTTTGTTACCAAATAGTTTATATTTTTTTTTCCTCTGAGCTTTTGCTCTGAAGTATATTCAGGTTCCAAGCCTGACCATGCTTGTATAATCTAATTACCATACTCTTCCAGTTTTAAAAAAATATATATATTTTTGGTCTGTGGCTGGAACTGTTCCTTTTTTTAAACTGAAGTCTTGTGACTTTTTATGAACTGAAATTGTTTTTATTTCAGCAAGTAGAACCTTGTAAAGGCCAGCATATTTTTTTTAAGATTATATGAAGTCTGTGCAAAAGCTTTAAAAAATGCCTCTGCCTTGCCTGCAATACATGCAATGTATGTTAACTTTAGTGCTCTGTTTTCAGTCATTGTTAATAGTTATTTCTGTTTTCCTTTTTTAAATATGTATTTATAGTGATAATTCATGAGGTTCTAACATTACATGAGTTTCTTTTTAAAGTGGGATCTCAAGCAGTCATATTAATGATTGTTCATGTCACAGGCATACGTTGGTGTTTTTGAAGGGTTGTTACTGGGTTACTCCCCCTCTTCCTTGCTCAGTCATATTGCATCTGAAAATGTTTCAGGATCTGTTCAGGTTTTTCTAATCTTGTACATAATTTGTATTAAGTGTAAGTTAAATGTTTTATTTCGAAAGTGGAATGTTCCCAATAACTTCATTTGGCAGCATGTCTTCTGTCTTGTTGGCATGTAACTAAAATACCATAAGAAGTATGTGCTACAAATGGGATTGGTAGGTGATGCCCTTCATCACTTGAGAATCACAACAAGCATGTTTTTCTTCATACTGTTCAGTAAATTAGGCCAGACTTTGGTGTAACACTTGTATTGAGAACGTGCTTTCATTGTGAAGTGATCATACCATAATAACTAGAAGTAAATTTTATTACTTAGAAATGGGCAAATAGAAAATCGTAAAAGCACTATGAAGATGTCGACTCCTCCCATCCTTATTTCCTGTGGGTTTCTCTCCCTGCCAACAGCTTGTGCAACATTCAAGTCTTCTCTCCATCATAAATTCAAGGCTCATTTGCACTTTGACTTTGTTGGTTGTTGCATTTGTTTTTCATTTTGACTTTGCCATGTTTTGTCCCTCCTTGTGGACCTGCCTGCTTCATTTGTATTTGAAAGTATACCCCAGTAGTTCATTTGTAGTCACAGAACTAGGTATAGACTCATAGGACAAGTTCTGATAGTGTGATCTTCCTCTTTAAAAGCCAAAATACAAATTTTATGGTGTGTTCAGCCTTTTCTATGCCCTGAAGCAAGAGCCACAACTGCTGTGTAAATGTGAACCTGTGGCTTCCTACAGTGCATTGCTTACAAGTTTATCTGTTGACCATTTTCATAGGGGTTTTATTTCTGACCACTTATTCCAATTTCAACACCCACCACCATTTGAAAGCATTGTCTCTGCACCATATTTGTATACTCTGACGCTCCATTCTACTTGTTTGCTTTAGTGATCCGTTGTATGTGTGAAAACAATGTGGTTAAAGGAAGAAATCGGTTATAAAGTGTATTTAGCTAATAGTAAAATCCGTGCCACTGTCCTTTTAAAATGTGCTTGTATTCTACCACAGGCCTTCATATTTGCTATTCTATATTACGAAACTTATTCCCATGACATAGTCGCAATGCTGGTTCTTAGCACTAGTGAATACTGCCTCACCTCATCTCCGTTTCAGTGACCAAGGGCAGAATTCATTGTGGCCTTATCTCTGTTTTAAACTGTTTACTGGCATTTACTTGCAAATCTGTTTACCTTTGTACGTGCTATAAAATTGCATTTTGTGTTGTGGCAGGAATCATTTCACAGTCTTTTTGTTAGAAGCGCGTAAGTATCTTACAGTATGGCTTAATTCGAGAGCCACAGATTTCCATCACTAATTAGACTGAGAATTAAAATAAGTGGTATATACATCAGATTTAGAGGGTATTCAAGAACAAACCATGATATACACACAGTAGGCAAACTATAACAAGCCTTTTAACCTTGAAAGACTATTTAAAATAGCTTTTCAGAACTTGACACCTGCTTTTTTACTCATTATTTTAAAATTTTTACATTTAAATGCAATACTTTTTATATTCAGTCTCTTTACTTGCAATAATTTTGCCCAATAGATACAATATTCCTTGACTTGTAAAGAACGTAATGACTTAGCCTAATTTCTGCTGTTCTACACACTACAGCCAAGTGGGTGAAAAAAAGACTACTAAGTTCTGCTTACAAGACCATTTTAAACCCCATTTTTCCCTTGGGCTTGTGGCTCCATTGTTGCCAGTAGTTATTCTGTAGTATAGAAATGGTCTTCCAGGTCCTTACTGTTGTTAAGATGTCCTGTTACTCAGATATATTATCTTCCTGAACTTTTTCCTGTGGGGTGATATTGTTACATTTATTGGCCTTGTGAGCTGTTAATCAGTTTTCATGATATTAACAATATCTCAAGATTTTGGTAAAACTACTTTTAGAATGTTTCAGTATGAAACTATTATAACTGTTCAAGTCTAGCTGTTAAGTCTGCTGTTAATTCTATATACATAGAAATTGAGTCTGTTCAGAATGTTGTTATAGTTCCAACTATAGGAAGAAAAAGCAAATCAAGTGCTCACATTTAGCTATGCCTTTTCTTGTTTTCTTTTATTTGGAACTGCATTTCAGAATTCAACACTAGTGTAGTCTTTAATAATCTGCTGCTGCTGTTTTTCCTAATTATTTGCCCTGGGGGCATCCCACAACTGTGTTAATAATGGTATTCTGTACTTCTTTTCGTTGCACAGACTTACAAGATCAGAATGGTTACCTGAAAAGACATGAACTCAAGACATTAAGTCAGTGAATTCCACATATACAAAATATTAATGCCAAGTGAAACAAATTATCTCTTGGAAGTAAGCTACCCACTTGTAGATTAAATGACTCCATAGAGGTGTCCATCTTGAAACTAAGATGCTCTTCAATTATTAACCATATTATTTACTTTCTTTCAAAAGCAGCTGTGTTTATGAGTACTGAACAAATGTGTATACTTTCCTGTGCCAGACTTTTGACTTTGTTTTCAAGCACTGTACTGTGGGATTGAGTGGCAGCTTTGTTAGAAAAAGAAGTATATTAGGGTTTTTACTTAACCCTTTTAGGACTGAACAATTTCTTCCCTTTAGAAGCTGTAAAATAAATGAGCAGTTCTACCTATGTAAACATTCTGTCTGTGTTCAGCACTGCATTTGCCCTATCTGGAGGTGCTATGCTAATGTCATTTTTTTTTTTTTAAATCCTGTAGCATGTGTATACATTCAGTCTTAAAAGGGTTATTTTTACAAACTGTGCACCTGTAAAGTTTCTTAGCAATAAGGTAGAAAAATGAGCAAGTTTTTACCATAATTTTGTAGAATTAATTGCTCAGTTCCATATTTCATCAAGAAAAACCCTGCAATATGGGCAGTTTTGAGGATTAAATAAAAGTGAAATGTAAACCACATAAAAGTGTTTTTGTCAAGTGTACTCTGTGTGTGTATGTGCATATGCTGTCGGGTTTCATTTTTTTCTACAAGGCTTAAAGATAAAATGCCGTGTTACTGTTGATGTGACAAACATAATTGAACATCTGTATGACGATATAGAAGTAGTTATGATTTGATCAGGTGTTGAAACTTGCCACGTTTTTGTGGATTTCTTTTCAATGTTAACCAAGGAATATGATTCATCTTTTTTTTTTTTTTTTTGCGAATGAACAGTGAGGTCATCTATGGAACCAGAACAACACAAAAGACGACCAACCCCAGGAGTGGAAAAGTCATCAGTAGTTGTGAGGCTATGCACACTGGACTCCACTTAAACAGGATATGGAATGTCCACCCAAAAATCTAAATCGGTTTCATTATTGCTTGTATTATTGCTGGAGTTAGATAAGAAACTGTTTTTTCCAATAATGTAAAAAAAAAAAAAGGGTTCACTTTTTTATATTATTTATTAAATAAGAAAAAATGAACTGTGTTTAATTGTTTAACTTTAGCAACTTTATTATTGCAACTAGTAAACCTGACTTATTTTCATCCTTTTCTTAGTTGCAGACTGTCTGATATTTCTTTCAGTTGGTTAATAATTAGAACTAGAAATTTAGCAAGCTAGCTTATTTCTTGCTTTGAGAGAATGCTCTAGTAGGGCCATAAGGAACAACTAGAAATTATGTGCTCTTTTAGTTTGCAAGCACAAGTGACACAGTCACTTGAAAAAAGTTTCTGAGATGGGAAGTGGATGACACAGCAGAGAGAGAATTTGGAATGGCAGAAACCTACCAGTACCAGTTTTGTATTAAACTAATACAAGAACTACCAGTTTATCCATAAGACTGCGAAGGGGCCAGAAGTGGTTGTTACGAAGGTGTGGCAAGAGCAAGAGAGAGAGATTTCATTGGAAAAAATAGATCATTTAACTATAAGGAAGCATTACAGATTTCTGTTGAAACATCTGCAAAGGTGAATGCCATTATTCCCAAGACACATAAAATAGCCAGAAACTCAACACTGGTAGAGCTTCTGCTGTTTGAAACTGGGGTGGTATGGGCAGATTACATTTCAGAATTATTTTAAAGACTTCTGCAGTCTGTTTCTGGAATGATAGATTGATTCTTCTGGAACGGAATAGAAATTAGATCTGAGGTTTTGGCAAAGAGAACGGTCACTTGCTAAACTTTAGTGTTGGTGTAGTTGGAATAAACTGCGTGGGATGGTGCCGGTCTTAGATGAAGAACTACAGATATTAAAACATCCCTTCATCTAAACCTTGGCAATTAGCTATATAGATAGTCTCAATAATAAATCCTGTTAAAATCCATGTTAGAGGATTAAAAGGAGAACGGTGTGAAATTATTTGGCTAGAGGAAAGGATTCATTTGGAGGATTACATGCAATATATGCCATTTCAGAACATTCAGACTTACAGAACTGGGACAGGTGGTTTACCTTTCACAGTGCCCTATTTAGACTGGAGTTGCATGCTTCTGAGAAGGGTAGAAAAAACCTGTATGTGCTCAATTAGTGTGTCCATAAAGGATACTTATTTCTGGTACCCAGTAGCACATGCTTAGTGTGAGGCCAA